GATTTCATTTGTCTTTCTCTGTTGCTCCTCCTGTTTCAACTATGAGGAGTTTTCTGTCTAAATGGATTGCAGTGGCTAAATCTGTATTTTAGATAAGCTTAAGACGCATGTAAAATGTGGTGTTGCTAATTAGTCAAGATGTCATTAGTCCAAGGAAATTAATTGTACATAAATAATGTGGAATTTCAGCTTCATGGCTCAAGAGATAAATTCAGAGCTTTTTCAGAATTGTCTGTCTTAAAAATAAAATAGCAGAAGAGGATTATTAAGCAAGCTCTTCAAAGCTCCCATTACCCTGCTAATGAAGATTTAACACATAGCCCAGAAGACATGGTTGATCTGTACTCCGTAAGGTCCTTCCACCACATCAGCATTTGTGTATCCCCAGCTGCTCTCATGAGGGAGGAAGCTAATTGTGACTTTGAAGAAGCAACTTATCTGCTTCCCAGCTGAAAGCAAAACACTGGAAGTACAGCCCATGCATAGCAGTGAGTGGGTAGTGAAGAGTGTTTTCCTTCATTAGCTGTACTTCAAGTGAGCCATCTCTTGGGTGCATACACAGGCTGCTCTGACCTACCTGGAGCTATTAGAGTAATTAAAGTTCACTTCAGGATTACATGTATCAAGGACTGCACAGTAGAAAGGTGAAGTTTAACTTCCTTTCCTATGAAGTTGCCTGATATTATTACAGTTATTCACATACAGTTTTGCAGTAACAGGCAAAGAACAAAGTCTGAGGGTTGAGACTATATTATTGTGATTGCAGAAGCATAGGAATAGGTGTTCTCTGTCCTCAGTATAAACATCTAGGGAAATCTCTTCCATCACCATATATATAATATATATATATAATATATATATAATATAGCGTGCTTGCAGCAAGCGTGGGTAGAGCCCTTCTCAAATCTTCATTCACAAAGCCTAGCCGTGGTGATGATAATCACTTTAAACTAATACTGTGCTTGACTTTACTACCTTTTTTTCCCAGTATTTTTATTTTATTTCTTAATGAAAAGAGAGACTTTTCTGGGTTTTTATCAACTGCCTGGTCCTACATGCATTGAACAGAGTGTGAAGACTATAGGAAATGTCACTAGATGAGAAGAACATAATTTCAACACCTACCTCACACAGCTGCAAAGGTACAGGCAGAAGGCTGTGAAGAATCAGCCTCAGAGAAAGGGGTACATGTACCTCATTCCTTGAGGACAATAGGTACTGTGTTTTTTTGTATAAGTTTTGCACAGCTTCTAAAATAGTTTGATTTGTTGGTTATAGCTTGCAATGGTTTCTGGATTTTTGTTAAATATAAAAAAATATATAGTGGTATAGCATTTTCGAATCTGTAAAATATTCTCAATTGTCTGGATTTCTTATCAAAATCTCCAATATCCTATAGAAGACCATACATGAAGTATTTATTTTTTTTTGAAAATACCCCTCTTCTTTACAATGGAGTGAAATAACTGGAGTAGTTTGATAAGAATTATTTATATTTTATTTACATTCATGTTCTAGAACTGTTCTTTTCTTCTGCAATGTAAGTTATTGGCAAATATTAGTGCCATTACAAATCTCATTCTATTCCCTCCTCTCAGTTTAGAGAGTAATTTCTCCACCACAGCTATGACTGTAGTCAGCTAGAGTTTCTACAGATGATAGTTATAAAAGGAACAAAATCTTGCAAGACATCTATGAAACAAGAGCATTTTTAATATTTAAGACAAGTTTCCTTCTTTTCTGGGCACAGAAATGCTTGGCTTCATTAAAAGCCGGAGGCAGTGTTTGTATCAGCTGAGAGCCAAGGATATTAATGAACATTTTCCCCTTTATTCTTGGAACCTCAATGAAAGTTGCAGTCATCTCAACTAGCTGTAACTCTTACTTTCTCAAGCCTTTTTTTTTTTTTTTTTGCTTGAGAAGATGGAATTTTCTTAGTAATGAACAACCAAACCTTATAAAGAATAGAAGGAACCTCCAAATTTTAAAACAGATTTTTCTAATAGTCTTATATTTTACTTCACTGGGAGGTATAATTGCTAAGATTCCCTGACAAAGTTAGAAATTAACAAATAAATTAAAGTGTGAAGATACAAGTAGGAGTTCTTAAGCAACTGATAAAGTCACTCTTCAAGATTTTTGTTGTTTAGCACTTCTTTGAGGATTAGCTATGTTGTCTTTACTATCTTCATCTTTTTCTCCTTGCCTCCTACTCTCCCTATAGATAGTCCCCATGCTTCATGCTTTACAATATCTTTCTCATCTATTTGTTTTTTAATTGGTCCTAATAATTTAACAAGTTCCACCTTAATCTATTTTCTATCCTTTTTTTTTTTTTTTTTTGGACACAGTGGAAAATCATTTCACTGGTCAAAATTGCACATGTTGATAATCTGGCATCAGATTCCTAAAGTGGTGTGTGTCACGCAACATAAAAAAATACCATTCAAATTCAGAGATTTGGAAGGAAATAAGTGGCCAACCTAAGGTAGTCAATAGTTGATTATAAAACCTCCATATATGCATGCTTAGGAAGATAAGCTAGTTAACCATACGACTAAAAGCTTCCTAAATTTTTTATCCATAATTCAAACGCAGCATGAATATGTGGAAATATTTCATCAATAAATGGAAACATAGCATATGAAGATATTTCTGGGTAGTAGAACTGTCCTATACTCTTACCAGTGTACACACCTGCTTTGTGAGAGTTCTGTGGTGAACTATGCCCTAGTGGATCCAGAGCAGTAGATGGCACCTCTCTTGCCATGTCTGAGTAGTTCTTGTGCACAGCTGCAAATCTGTTTTCTTATTCTTTCTTTACAGTCAAGTAAGTTCTGCAGTGACAAGGAAGAGGGCAATTTAGATTAAAAGCATATCTAGCTCAAGAGAAAATCTGGCAAACGGGGAGAAAAGAAATTATACAATCGAGAGCAATCAGAAAATTATTTTGATGGGTGATTACCATCAGATTGCAATGTTTCTACATGGATCCACAAAGCTGGGTAGGAGCCCAGCTGCAATTTGACATTTGTATAAAATCATCAGTCTGTGTAAAAGGCAGCTTATGAATTACATGACTTTTGTAATATGCTGAAGAAGAAGGAGGACCGAACAGACCAAGTATTTTCTGTCACTGAATACAATGGGTCTCCAGCTCAGCCAGAGCTGTCAAGTGAAATGATGCCATTTTTACTTAAAAGTCAGGGTGTCAGAATATGCTACTGGCTCCAGTTTCTAAAGCTAGACTTCATTAGTTATATCAGTTACCTACCTTGAACAGGGTAACCTTTTAACCAGAGAAAACTCACCTCTGTATGGTAAAATGGGTTAAATAAATCTCTTTCTGTCCACTTTGTGTTTGAGTAGGGCTGGTACTTCCCCTCTGGCATGGTCTCTGCCCACAGTGTTTCAGCTGAGCACTGAGTTGCAACAAATAGCTCATCAGTCTCTTTTGGTCTCACCTTCTTCCTGTCATATCTGAAACTGGGATGCAGATCTGCATTCTACCATGCCCTTCTCCTTTCTGGATTCTTCGAAATGTCGCTGTGGCTACAGACGGATTCTTGTTGCCCTTATCATCCCACCCTTCTTCTCCCTGCATCTACCACTCTAAGTCCTTTTCTGGGAAAATGAGATAATGGAATACACTCTCCCTCTGCAGTGCCTGGTTAACTCACTGTATAACTGCTAGGGTAAGGCACACAGGCAATACCATGTGCCAAACCATGGCAAATAACATGAAGTCCCCTCTCACATATTCAAATAAAATAGCCTTAATATAAACATTTAATTTTGTATATGTGAGGTTTTTATATTACACATTTAAGGAAATCAAACCACCATTTCAAAATAGAAATTACTTTATAAAAATTGGTAATTATGGAAAAAAATGGTGGTGCTACTGTGAGAAGGAAATTCAATATACAATTTGGCCCACATTGTTTGTGAAACTCTAAACAGAGAAACCATGATAAGTGAAATAGATTTCCTATGCATTCAACAGTAGTAACTGGATTACTACCATCACTTCTTTCTGATATTCCTTTTTAAAAAAAGTTGAAAATTTGTGAAGCTCATAAACCATCACTCATGCAGATAAATGAAAACTTGGTAGAAGTCATTCCAGCATTACACTCAGGATGGGCTTCAGTCATCCCTGGTGGGGTGCCTGAAACTTATATGTCAGTATGTGGCTATCCCCCCAACAAAGGCCTTTACACAAGTTGTCATTTAGGGTTTGTAAATAAAGGTGCCTTCAGCCATTTTGAGACTCCTCAAAGTGCACGTGTCTCAGCAAAGGCAGCCAACCCTCACCTAGGTGTCCGAGTATTTTTTGTTTGTTTGTTTTTATTTTTGTTTTTGTCTTTATTTTTGTTTTTGGCTATGATTAACCATTAGGCAACAAATTAAACAGTAAAGCATGTGTAAGATTTCTTGTATTCAGTCACTTCAAATTAAGACTGTATTTGACCAAACTAATTTTAGAATAATTTTGCCTGGCTGCAGTTGTTAGCTCATAGTGCTTTGGTTTTGAAGCGGCTCTTGTTAGAAAGGTATAATTTTTGCAAGAAAGTAGCAAAAAAAAGAGAAACAGATTAGGTGTGGGGGGGAACCCCATCTTTTTCATCTATAATTGTTTGTGTTTCTCTGCATTAGGGTCTCAGTTCCTCAATTCAGAAATTTACTTAAGTCTCACATAGAGGTATACAGGGAAATAAATCAGATTTCTTTTGCTGTGGAAGAACAATACAGTGACAATATGGCCAAGGAAGCCAATTCTAAGCTTTGAACTTAGTTTTATTTTATTTTTTCTCTCTCACAAGTTTGTTTCGCGTATTTCTTACATTCCATTATATTGACTTGGATGCTGCTCTTTATTATTCCTGGATTTGCTTTAGTCCCTGGCAAAAGTGTTAAAAGGTTTGCATTTCCTGTGTTCTCATCACTGCTTGTCATTTCTGCTTCTCCCTTTTTAAAAATTCTTGTTTTATTCACAGATGTGGAAAAGGATGGAAAGGAAACCGTTGCCACATAAGTGCTAAGCCTCTTCAGCCTCCAACTTCAACTGTCCTACAAAATGGTGGGTCTGTAAAAAGAAAGAAAAATCTTTCAATTCATTCTTTGAGTGCTTTGTTTTACTTATTTCTGTCTTTGTTCTAATTTTGCAGATATTTGGATTGGGTTTGGTATTGGTTTCTTGTTGATTAAAATTACAGCTGCTGCCTTGTATTTTCTTTCGAAGAAGAAAGTGCCAGAAACGTAAGTGAAACTTTTATTTTGTGTAAAGCAGACACAAATGTGGCACAAAGCAATGGCTAACTGCCCAGACTCATTGGTTTCAACTTTTAAATCTCCCCGCAGTCTGTTTGTCTTCATATGCAACACTAAGCAGAAAAACTAGCTTTGCAACAAAAGCTGACCTTAGTGGACCCCAGTCTGGAAACAATGAGGAATGGTTTGACTGCTTAGAATGTTTTGATTGTAACATTGCATGAGTATTCTTAAATTATAAAATTCCGAGTTCAGGGGTTTTTTAGGATATGCCTCACACTGACAATTCACTATTTCACAGATATATTTCCTAGCCCTTCCTGTCATCCCTCTGATAATCTCTGCCTTCTCTCTCCTCCTTAATGTAAGATTTTTTTAATTCTGTTTCTTATTTTCCTCTTACACCTGTATTGCTTCTCTGCCTATCTCTTAACTTATTCTGCTAGATCCTTCTCTGTTGGCAAGTACCTACCACTGTCTCTTCCTCCCTTTCAGCAGCTCCTGTTGTGCATTACCTTGTTCATTTTCATGTTGTTAGATTTTCCTCACCCTTCATTTCGTCTCCAGAATTCATCTTCAAAGCTGTCTCTTTTCCTTTAAACTTGTTCTCTGCTATAGACTTTTCTCTCTTTGGGGATGTTGTTATCTCCCAAACTATCCACTAAACCATGCAGACTACTGTCCTGACATTATTGCTGCTGACATGTCTCCTGTCACTGCACATTCCCCTGACAGGTAGAGCTGTCTATGGACACAGAAGCAACATGTTGAAGCAGGAGCCTTTATTGGTTGTGCTACTGTTAACTGAGTGCATAGCTTCACCTGCTTTCTTTAAGTCTCCTTCCTCTTCTGTAAGTGGGAATAACATTTCCTTATCTAATTTCGTAGGGGCTTCAAGACTTAATTAATTCACGTTAATACAACCTGCTAAGGCACACATAGGGAAAGACATCTCAGAAGTGCAAGATTAGTTGTATTGTAAGAGCTGTTAATATTTTTTTTCGTCATTTCAATTAGTATTTTTTGGAAAAAAATAATTTCTTAAAACATGTTTGATGGTGTTTTAATTAAAAAAGTATTGTTGTTTCTTATGCTACTCCTCCTGTGCTCTCAGTGCTCCCTTCTACCTTTACTTTTCATAAATGTCTGCTTAAAGGTTAGTGCACTGCCATTCATATCTCTTCTACCCACATATCTGTATTCAAAGAATATTTTTTCCTTTCTTGGAAAAGCTATATATGCTAAAGAAACACCTAGTCTTTTTTGTACCCTGTTGCAATAGGATGTCAAACATGCAAATGTCCTATTAGATATTAAAACACCTATTAGGTGTTAAATCACCTATTAGGTGTTAAAACATGGACTGAAAGGATCTTCTTACTACGGCACTAAGAAAATATCACAATCCTCATATGTAGAGAATCAGAACTGTGAAATAGAGGGATAGACAAGTTTATACAACAAAGCTCATTCTAGTCTTGATTATTTTCCTTGAAATTGCCAAAAAGATCAGCTATGCTGATGGAAATTTTTGTGATTACAACTTTTCTCTATCACGAACTGAGATTGCCAAATCATTTTGCCCATGGTACAGAACAAAAATTTATAATTTTCATTGTTTTTAATCACACTTGATGTAACATGTAAATTAAAATGCATTTTATAATCATCTTGCTAAGACATAATCTAGCTAATCAATGGCTATTTGATTGAAATTATGAAATCATAAAAGCAAAGAAATCTGAAACTTTGACTTTGAGAACACAAGTTCATTCAGGCAGTTTGTCTCTCCTTCTTCAACTACCTAGTGCCTTCCATGATTTGGTATACAAAAATCAAAGCTGGAAACATAATAGCAAATTAAGGCAAATTATTCTTTAAGTGCTTGATCAGTAGTCAGAACTGACTAGTCAAAATGCAGCCAATGTTACCCTACTGAAGTTTAAGGTAAGCCTTTATAATAAAAAGGGACTTGCATAAGTCTGTAAAATGTACAATGTGACAGCACCACACAGAGGCGTGAGATTTTACTCCTCTTTTTTTTTTTTAAGGGATTTGATGAAAGAGAGGAATTTAACTGACACATAAATGATACCTTCCTGCATTTAATTTTCTCTTCAAAGGCCTGTGTCTGCTTTTATCCCTCCTCGTATTGTTTTCTGAAAGTCACTAGGCACTATAGTCACTCTAGGGAAGCTTTCACACACTTGAGGCCGTATTTACTGCCTTTTGATGACTTCTTTTATAAGTAATTTTTTAATAATTTCCATTAGTATCTCTTTGCCTTACTAATATAGAACCACACATGCAGGTATTACAGATGGTTCTCCAGAGGCACATTAACAGTTGTAGGTGCTAGCTCCCAGAATATCTTGAAATGGAGTGCAGATCCATCTATGCCTCAGTGGAAATAGCACAGAAATGTGCACAGGAACTCGAGAAGAAGTTTCAGAGTCCAAAAGGACTAATTTTTTTTTGCCAGAAAGCCAGGTAGCAGGTGTAGGTCCAGGCTGGGACCCCTTAGACAGCTGCTAGTTGAGAAATTGTCAATAACAGCAGTAAGAACCTAAGAGTTACATTTGTCCCTCTTTTTTTTCCACTGGAAACACTAATAGTGTCTTAACTCTTCCTTTCAACTTAGAAAGGATGCCCCACTTCCGCTTTGCTCTCTCCTGCTCCTTCCTTTGCAAGAATTTAATTTCTGATCTGCAGGTTTAAATGCTCCAGAGACTGAGTGGTATTTACTGGAAGTCATCATCTAAGTTTATTTCCTAATGGACAAAAGCATCCCGCTACATGGCTTGGCAACAGCGTACTTCATTATCATGATGGCATTCAGATTTGCAAGCTACTTCCCAGTTCCCAGCTGGGGATATGTGAAACTTTTTGTATAGAAACTCCAAACTGGGGAAGCTTACAGATTTCTCACATTCCTGTTTGCACTGCAGAGATGATTTCCTAGTCCAGAAGGGAAGGCTGCCAGTTACTCCACTCCATCAGTGGCATCCGTCCTTGTTGACCACATAGAAGCAAAGCTTCATTTTAGCTTCCATTTTATTGCAGATTCCTTCACATGCTTCATTTTACTCTAAAAAGTGAGAATATGAAAAGTGACTTTCTGCCCAGCCTAGCTATGCTTTTTCGTGTTTGCCTCCAAAGAAGTCAGTGTCCCTGGATCTTTTCAGTTTGTTTCTTTCCTATTTTTGATCTGTGCTATCAGTTGCAAGGCTAATGTACCACAGCTATTACCAGTGTGGTCAATCTTAATGAACACAGTACATTAAATTCTCCAAAGCATATCAATAATGTATTTTGCCACACAGGCAACAGAGTGAAAAATGGAGGTGCTCTGAGAAAGTATTTTAAAATTATAGAAAATTAGGGGGAAAAAGGACTCACTTTCATTCTGCCACATAACTCAATGGTATCCCTTCTAAATTTGCACATAAAGACCTCTAGTAACATGAATTTGATAGCATCCTCAGGCAATCTTGGTACCTTGGGTAGAAAGATGTTTACTATTAAAAAGTTATTTTCCAAATCCCTATATGTCTGTTTACAATTTACGTTCATTCTGATTCACCATGGATGATAATCTCTTCCTCTTTGCAAAAAGCTTTTTCTGTTCTTGAAGACAATTGTTAGGCCTCCTCACAGGCTGCTTTCTTCAGGCTAAACAAGCTCAGTGCTTTTTGCCTTTCTCCATAGTTAAGGTTTACTTATAATTATGATGATTCCCAGTTTCTGTTGCCAGACTTTCTGCAATTAGACCTTACCCTTCTGGAGGTCTGGTATGGAGGAATGGGTAGTGTATTCCAGGCGAGGCTCTCCAAGTGGATCTGAAGGGCTTCCAGAGGTCATTGCTGGCTATGCCTCTGTTCCTATATCCCAAAGTGATAAACAGAATGACAGTATAATGACATTTATTGAATCATTTTCAGCTTCTGAACTGGAACAGAGACAGATACTGTTCTTGTAAAATGGGAGAAAAATGTGCAGTTTTGTGGGAAAAAAGAAAAGCAAAATTTGGAAGCATCGGCCATAACTGTTGTTTGGGAGTTGGTGTATTAGTCTAATGCTGCTATCCAAACCCATTTATTCTTCTGTGGAGTATTTTTGTTCTGAAGGATGATACCCGGTACTATCATCAGAAGTTTTCAGTTTTTCTGAAATGTACATCTCATGACCACCACACATAGGAAGGATTGCAAAGAAACAAGAAGTGACAAACTGAAGCAGAGAAAATCTCAGTCTGCAGCCATCAAGATCATTAAGATGAAAGATGCAAAAGACTGATTTAAAAAAAAAAAAAAAAGAATTTTCCTAAAGTGACTCAAAAGTACAAGGTGCAGACTTTGGAAATCAAAACAGCATGTTAACAGTCTAATCAAATGTCCCAGTGACTTGTTGATGATTCTAGATGCAGCTTTTGGAAAGTCTTCTTTCCTTGCATCATGCCTCCTGTTTCTTCTGTGGGATGAGCAAAACATAGGCTTCTTCTGCAAACCTAAATTTAATTGAAAAGATTTTATAAATGCTTTGGAAATTGAAATCTTGAGGTTAGCTTCTGTTCAGAACCGAAGCTTTAGAACATCTGTAAAGAATTCTTTAAGGGGATTATTTTAATTAGGAGCTTAATTGTAATTGAATCTTTGGTCCACTAGGATTTTGTCATTGTTGTTATGGTCCAGATGATAAGCATTCTTCCAGTACTATATTTCCTACAAAATTATGTCCTGTATAAAAGATCTGATTTTTCTTTGAAAGGTACATTGAAAAGTACAAAATTATGACCTATTGCATCCAAACAAATGAAATCTAGATACTTTAATTTTCCATTAAAAAGCATTATGTTACTCATCAGTAACATAACTGGCGGGTATTTTGTGGAACATACAACTTCTTCCTGTCTCTGTGAAGTTATAGTGGAGAAACCTACAACAAGGCAGTAGTTTTTGCTACTAAAGAATACAGACGAGCTTAGCAAA